GAATTGTTTCTACTGTGATGGGCTTATTCAGTCTTCTGTCCCAAGGGACCTTGAGGGTATCAAGGTCTGCCTGGAAATGAGAATGGCACGGCACGAAGCTATGTGGGGGATGTGTTACAGGGTACTTTTATTCTGAGGTCCTTTCTTTCACAAACTTCAGTGTCTGAACACCAAATGCCTATTGAATGACAGTGGATAAAACTGGCATGTGTAGAAACTGATGCAGTCCTATCTGGAGCTGCCAAAATTCAGTATCAGATACTTACTTCATTCATTATGTACAGCTTTCTGATGCAGGGAACCCAACTGGTTTTAGAAGAAGTCAGATTTGGTTATGACTCTGCCTGGTACTGCAGTATTCACCTCACCACAGCACCTTCTGCACATTTACAGGCTGACTACTTGAAGGTGGCAGATCTGGGTCTTCTCATCCTGTGCCTCTCGCAGTAAGTGATAAGGCTACATTAATCTGCGTTCCCTGCAATCTCTGAGCTGAACAGTTTGGCATCTGAAAATGGGCAATTGTTACTGTATTACTTTTCAACTCAAAATTCATGCACTGTAGCTCTCATCATCAAAGGGGGTTTTTGTTAAGTGTTTTTCAGATGCCCTGATAACAAGTGAAGCCTTTTGGCTTTTGAGGGAGTTTTGACATATGGGCTTGCAAAATAACTTGTTTTAGAAGAGCAGGCCATTGAAGTTCAAGTGCCACAATTTTCCTCAATCTCCTTTTTTTTTTTTTTTTTTTTTTTTTTTTTTGGCAAGACTAGTTTTTGTTAGGCATGCCACAAAACTGCAGATGCTGAGCATTCCTCTGATAGCTGCAGTGTGAATATTTTGCTTTGTTCATGTTTTGAGTGCTCCCTGTGAATTAGGCTATCTTTTGTTTTCCCTTGGCAGTTAATATGCTGGAGCTCTTGTTAGCCTATATGGAACTCCTTATTTTAATGAGACCAACTTCTTTACTGGCTGTTCTGCTGTTGTTTTATTTATTTTTTTTTAATCAATGAAGCCTCTTATTGAGCTTCTCTTAGGACAATAGCTTTCTTATGCCAAAGGAAAACGTATTCCCCTGGACAAAGCTGTGGGAAGCATAACATGCTCATTAGTAATTCTTGGTATATACCCTTCCCTTCCCTTGTTCATTCATAGAAGGAAAAATGACATCAAGGAGAGGATGTCTCTTTCTTTTTTTTTTTTTTTTTTTCCTTCCCTAGAAATAAAAGGAAGGGGAAAGATATCACTGGAGTATCTGACAAGGTCTGAGAAGTGCTAGCAGTCCTGGTACAAGGAAGTGTCTTCGCCTGAAACCAAACTGGTTGCTCATTTGCCAGTCGTAGAGGTAAGTTGTTTGAAATGCCTGACACATGTGGTCCCACGTAGTCTATGAGGTTTAAGGCAGTGGGAAGGAGCAAGGGGGAGAAAATGACACCATTCTGCTTTCTGTGCAGGATGAAAGGGTGAGAATTTTTACAAGAATTGTGTTTTCTGTGATGGGCTGTTCAGCCTTTTGTCGTAGGAAGGCCAAGTTGTGCAGGAGAGAAGCAGATGCCATCTACATACAAAGCCTAAATATCTGGGACAGGAGAGGAAAAATACCTAATTTTAAATGAAAACAGATGAGTTAAAAATGCCTGATAGTGTCTGCAATCTGGTTTTCAGTTCAATCAGTAAGATGAAATTTTATTGCAGCTATTGAGTAGGAGAGCAAGTAAGTAGTTTTAAACAGGTTTCAAGATGCAGATAGGAACTTTTTGACATTGTAAAATACCACTGGAAAGTTATTATGGAGAAATACCCTCTGTACAAGTGCATGCAGCTAACCTGGCAATGCTGCATATCTTTAGACCTGGAGCCTCCAGGGAAAGACTTACTAATCCTTAGCCCAGTGTAGAGCTTGTGCTGGATTTTCCCATGGTTGAAAGCATTGCTGGAAAATACAGTGTTGGCTTCAGGAGAGAAAGCATTGACTGCATTGTTTCCAAAGTTTCCCTGATGTTCATTTTGCCAGGGATTTGTACTGATAACTATGTTGCTGCAGTAGTTTGCAGCATTCTGTTGAAAACTTAGTGCATGCATGCTGCCTGCAAAGTCACAATCACAGCAGAGATTTATAAAAACATTGATTTCTCTCATGTGTCTGTGCTAGAACTTGAAGATCTTTAAGATCCCTTCCAACCCCCACCGTTCTAGGATTCTTCAAGAGAAAATCTTATTCATCAAAATTATTTCTTTGTTTTAAGGTTTTCATGATATTCCAAGTATTTAGTGTAAACTCTGTCTGCACACATGTACGAAATACACTTGTGATAACTTGGAAGGAAAAATCAGAGCCAACAGTGTTAAATCCAAAAAAGGTTTGAAGTATATGCATTACTGTTTGACAAAATGAATGTCATACAGCTCCTAAAAATCTTGCCAACTTTGGAACATTGCTTATGCATGCAAAGTTAGTTGCTACTTTTGCTGTAATAACTGCACTTTTATTTAAGGGCAGAGAACTGAAGTTCACTGAATACTGGATCACAGCCTTAGCTACTAAGACATTTCCCTCTTTCCCCTTCTCTTCCTATTAGACTTATTCTTATTTTTCCAAAACAGCACTGATGGGTTTTTCTCAGGATTTTCATGAAAGCATGAGAGACTGTAATAAAAATCTCTGCTTTTTCCCCAGGAGGAGAAACTAATGTAAAGCAGGTGACCATGCAGAATGCAGTTCAGGTAAATGCCTTTTGAAGTGTTTAAATCCTGTGTACATGTATAATACTTTTTTTTTTTTTTTTTAATACTAAAGTCTACCCTGAAGCAGATGAAACACTAGATTCCCCAGTTACTTCTGATTTAAAAAGTAGTAGTTTTCCCCTTCTACAAGGAGCAATGTGACAAGGATAACCCACTGCTATTATCAGATAGGTGACCCATTCACTTCTTGGTGCTGTCAAAGCCTGAGATTATTGAAAAACTTCCATCATTAAGAAGTGGTTTTTTAATAGCCTTATATTCTAGTTAATCACTTAAATATAAATAAATATATTTTACATTCACACTGAACTGAAGGAAAATAGTTAAGAATACTAGAAAAATCCTGTCCTTGGAAATTTTTCTTCACAAAATTTCATTGTGGTCCTTTTCCTGAAGTCTCTCGTTTACAAGATGTAGAATTCTGAATAGAAATGTATTTGTGTTCAAGAAATGTGATGAGTCCTTGCAAGGGAACATTTCCTCTTTTGATGCTATAATTTTTAATGATTTGAGCACAAAATGCCTCTGAAATGCTTAAGAAATCAGTAGTCTGTAGTAAATTATATGATAACTTGCAGATTTCATGACTTAAAATGTTCGGAGTTAAAAAAGCCCGAAGCATTTAATGCATGTTGTCTTTATTCTGTATTCAGGCAAGTATGTAATTTTAAATCCAAGGGAGTCAAGAGAAGGAATGCAGTGGTATATTGGTGCATAACAAGAGCAGAACCATTTGATTGCTCTGTTGGTTTCCTGTATCTGTTGAAAGGGAGGAGAACGCTCTTTGAATAATAGTTCTTCAGTCTAATTCAGAAGCACAAGTTTTTGCCATCTGACTGCAAATATTAGAGCTTCCTGTCTTCAGCTTGCTGAAATCTCTGCAGGTGTGGTTTGGAGATGAGCTTCCCCTGAGTCCCCGAAGCCCTCTGACTCCGAGGCACGGGCCGGGGCTGGCAGACGTGTGCCTCTATGACCAATGGATCTCTGTGCGGCATGAAGCCACTTTGGTGCCTATGCAAGAAGATCTCTCCATTTGGCTGTCTGGCTTGCTGGGTGAGCTTAAAAATAATTCACTCTCTCACGAATTTCAAAGCACTTCCAATATTCTAGTCAGCACTGATGTGTAATATCTATAGTACTTTTAAGAGCTGCTGCATTTGAGTTTGAATGGCTGGGAGAATTGCATTAAAATGCACGCTTTGATTTCAGTTTTATTAGCTGCCACCTCTTAAGGGTTGCACAATTAATAATTCTAATTTATATTTCTGAATCTTGTTAGTCTAATTAAAATCTAATTAAAGTAATATTTTATTGTATTTTACTTATATAATTTCATCTATTTTTCAGTCTTTAACACTGGAATGCTGTTTGAGTTGCCTTTAAGTTCATATGAAACTTCTTTGCCTTCTGTGGAATAACTGTAATATTGACCTTCTTTTTCTTAAAGGAATGGAAGTCAAAGCAGAACAACTGCTAGAAGAACTTGATAATGGGGTACTGCTTTGCCAATTGATTGGTGTTCTTCAAAACACAGTTAAAAATTGTTGTAGCACAAATAACTTAAGGGTGAGTTGTATAATGATTTTTTTAAATACATATATAAAGTCCAAAGTTTTAAGCAGTAGTTAGAGGGAAAGCAGGTGAGTGAGGCTTCCCAGAGAAGTGTTTTGTATGCTGTATATCCAGAGACTGATTAACAACAAAGTGGCTTTATAGATGGATAAACTCATCCAACAAATTGCTTGCTTTGTTAATCACATCCCAAGGACTTTACTAGGTTTTCAGTTTGATTGCCAGAGGAAGATCTAGTCCAAGTCTGGAGTTTGTTCCCCTGACACCAGTGTGGGTTGTTAATAAGATATCCGTTGGCACTTGGTGGTATGTTTTATGCCAGGGAGTGGTGGCTGAACTTGCGTGTACAGGTCAGCCATGAAAGATCCAAACCTGCAGATGGGCTTCAGTGTTTCCATTGAGAGGCAGTGCTTAGTTGAAATGTGCATCTCAAGCAAGTCTCTGTTACTTTGGAGTACAAAGGACTGTTCACTCAGTGACTATTCACAATGATAAAGTAGAATGCCTTCTGTATTAGTGTAGCTTTTTTCATGGAATACATAGTGAGGTGAACACAAAATTACACAAACAGTTACAACTGTTTCTGTACTCTGAATTTAGGGTGTATTTTCCTTTGCAAATATGCTTTGAAATCTGTTGGCAATGTTGATGTGTACAATGTACTTTTTGTTTTCTTCCCTTGCCAGAATTTTCCTATGAGAAAAGTTCCATGTAAGAAGGATGCTCCATCAGGATCTTTTTTTGCCAGAGATAATACAGCCAACTTTCTTAACTGGTGTAGAGCCATTGGAGTTGATGAGACATACCTCTTTGAATCTGAAGGCTTAGGTAGCTCTCTCTTTTTTTCTAAGATTTGCTTTGATGTCTGTGTGAATCACTACCTGGTCAGGGAGATGCTTTGTTATAGACTTTTGAACTTTTTCTCTTGACTCTGCATGTGTAGTGCAAGCTTTTATTTATTTTAAGGCAGTGTCCAAGTAATAGCCTTGTTCAAAAATCAGTTCAATGACTAATATAACTTGTATGATGCTTTTCCAAACTTCTGAAAGTTACAGTGTGGGATGAAGTGGGGATTGAGAGCTGTGCAACAAAATACCGTGTTTTTCTTCAGTGAAAAGAACCACTGAGAAACAGGAGAAAAGTGTGGTTTCACTTTCTGTGTGTGGGAAGACCACAGGGCCATGGAGTCAACTCACAATAAGATCCTTTATTTGGTACTACAGCTCCTTCTTCTTGCAAAAATCCCTCAGAATAATACATTCAAGATGGTTAAATTTGGTAACGACATCAGGGCATTGTGTCTGAAGTGGCAACAGCCTGTTGGTAATTAACATTTACTTCAGGACACAACATTACTCTAAACCATTTGTATTTTCCCATTTAGTAAGATAGTTATAAAAATAAATATTACCAACTGTGAGTGTGCCTGCCCCAGTGCACAGCTGGTGCTGTATAGCATCTTCTAGACTGGTGCGATGCAATAAAATTTTTTTAACTGCTAGTTAAGAGGATTGTACTTTCACCACATAATAAATAAGGAAATGCTCTTCTACCAGCTATTATGTCAGTAAAAATTAATTAATACAAAACTTTCTATAGCAAGCCACATTCTGTTTTTTGTTGTTTGGCTTTTTTTTTTTTTTTGAGTAAGCAAAATATCTGCCTGTCAGCAGTCTAGCAAAAAACTGAGAAATAGCTTTGTTTTCGGTAATCATATGAAATTGTCATAATATTTACTGCATTTTGAAGTCTTTGTTACATTAATGCTATTAATTAGCATTAATGCTAATGAAATGCTATTTATACTGGCTGGACTGCCCATGCATCTCTACTGGGTAAGTCATCTTTTAAAACAGTTGAGAAAACTCCGTCATTTGCATGTCTCATTTTGATTAACTAGTGAGTGTATCTTTTTTCAGTGCCAGGAAATACAGAGTAGAACTGAGTTACAAGAATATTTTAATTTTTTTTTTTTTTTACTTTCTTGTATGAATTGTATTGCTTAAACATGTTAGTTCCTGTAAGTGGACAGGTAACTAGAACCTGTTTAGCTTCCCTGAGATAAGCAGACATGATTTCCTAGTGCTGTGGCTTTCACTCATTGCAAAGAAAGTGTTTTGAAGTCTAACTCTTGACACAAGCTTGCTTTGTGGCATAAAAATCTTCTGTGAGCCTTTTTGGCAGTTGAAATGAGCAGACTTGCAGCCTCCAAGATGAAACATTCTTTCCACTGATGTTTTTCATCAGACTTTCAAGCCACTCTTCGTGAATGAAACAGGGGAAGGATAAGTTGACAATTGTCTTTTTCCCATCAGGGACCTATAGCAGCACCTCCTGAAAAGTGTAGATGACTGAGAAGGAAATAAATCAAGAGGTTCCTGAGACAGCAGAAAGGAAGAGTAGGCATCGTGGGGTGCCCTTTGACATCTAGCCGAAACAAATGTCTTGATCTTTGCTAGAGACACAGTTGGATTTTTTCCTTTTGTACTCAAGCAAATTAAAACACTTTTGTTACAGCTGGCAAATACACACGCATGCACATGCATATTTATACACTAAAAAAAGAGATGAATCGGCCTCTAAAAGTAGCTTTTAGATTATGGTTGTGTCAACTTTCTATTCTAGATTTACCCTTCCTAATTGGGTCTTTTAAAAAGCAGGCTTAGAAAATGGAGGAGATGATGTAAACAAGAAAATCTGACTTCATACTTGGATTCTACTTTAGGAAACGCATTTCAAGCAAAGGCATTTCAAATATCAAGTTGAATATCAGAAAGATGTTGGATTTCACCTGGAACTTTTGAAGTAGTGATAAGAAAAGATCTGTTGCTTATTGAACTGGTAACAGTCACCCAGATTGTTCTTTCCCAGCCAAGGAACCACTCAGGCTGACTGGATGTGTAGCCATCCATGTGTCAGCTAGGGCTCTTGCAGGGTATCCTCTTATGGATGGTAACCTCCAGAGTACCTGTACCTAGCTGTGTCTGTAGGCATGAGCATGAACAGATGGGTGCATTTTCCTTTTTGTCATTGTTAAGTGCTCTTCATCTTTAAGACTGTGATATTGCATTTGGGAGTAGGGAATGGGAAGCGTTTATGTCTCTCTCTTTCCTGTTCTCATCAAGAAAGAAGATTATAAAATATATTTCTCTTAGGAGGAAGAGTGGTTTCAGGAGTGCCAGGATGGGTTTAAAGATTTTATGGAATAGAAAATTAGAGTTGTAAAGCATGTAGTGCTTTATCAATGATAATGTACCTTGCTTCTGGGTAGGATGATGGGAAATTTATAGTCATGGATACCTCATCTTCCCTTCTCTTGGCTGTACCTAATTGCATAGGCCTCCTGCAATAAATATGAACTGTAACTCCTCTTTATTCTCATCCCTTTTAGTGTTGCACAAGGATCCAAGACAAGTGTATCTTTGTTTGCTGGAAATTGGGCGCATTGTATCCGGGTATGTGATCCACACATGCTCCCAACAAGAAATTGATGGACACATCCTACTAAGTAAAAGCTAAAACAAAGTTAGGACATTATTTGCAGCTATCAAGTGCAATGCAGTGGATGTTAATTCTGTGCAAAAAGTTATGAATCTATTTTCTAGGATCGTCATACAATATGAATGTTTTTTCAAATATTTATCAGACTCTTTCCTTGGAGAGAAGCTGTTCCATGCTGGTTTCTATAGCTGTGTGTTTAAGTTATACATTCATCTTATAGATAATGTGTACCTCTTGGAAGAACTCGCTGAGCATTAAATATGATTTTAAGGGTTTAAATTTTTCAGCTTTTTGGAAAGTATCTCTATTATCTCAATGTAGACGTAACTTATTTCTAGTGCAGAGCTGGAACCTTTAAGATAGTCTGTCTAAATTGGATGTGACCTCAACTGTGTAGTTTTGGCAGTATTTTTGCTACATCCTCTGGTGACACCAAGGCTACCTTAGGAAGGGAGTCTGCTAGTAACTCAGGAGTGTTCCTTCTTTTTGGATTATCCAGGCAGCTACTCCTCTGATTGATTCAGATGTCCTTGTCTGTAAAGCCACTTATAATTTTGCAAGTTTGTTATCATCAGGTTTTTGTTTTTTTTTTTTTGTTTTCTTTAGTAAATAAGTAATTAAACACTCTGCTTTGGTATTTGAGGTATGGAGTTGAACCTCCTGTACTTGTAAAACTAGAGAAGGAAATTGAGCTGGAAGAAACCCTGCTGATGACCTCTGGACCACCATCACCTCTTAGCACACCAAAGTCCTGTTGTCACCATGGGGAACTACACGAGGCAGTAAGTGCTACTTGCTTACTGTGATATGGGCTTTAATTTAAACTCTTAGTTTTGAACTTGTATGATCTGTCTCAGTAAGGACAGGCTGATTTTCATCTAATATGTGTCAGCCTTCTCAAACAGAAGGGTATGCACCTCTTTTTATCAATTTGTTTTGAAAATGTAAATAAAATGCTGTTCTATATGTTTTGGAGTGCATATAACCTACATTGATTTCCTTTCCCATCTTCCTTTTCCTTTCTTCTTTGAGTACAAGAAATGCTCTTATTCAGTTTTTCTGGTGTCGATATTCTATGACTGCAATGAATGTTTGTCTTCAATTTGATCTTTCTGAAACTTAATCAGATGTTAAAGTAGGCTTTGATGAAAGTCTTTTGAAAGAAGAATTTAAGTCAAACCTCTGTAGCTGTATCAATTGGAAAATGAATATGTATGCAGAAAAGGAAATTATTTGTACAGCTTGTGAATTGGTCCAGAGGAAATGATGAACAATTTTCCTATTCTGCTTAAAAATCCACTTGTTTTAAATTTCCTCTGTGTTGTGATGTAAAAATTCTGTTTCTTTGGGAATGTCAGCCACCAGATCCTTACTTTCTCTGAAAACTCACTATTTCTCCTTCTTGGCAACAGTCTCACCCTTCCAATTTGTTACATTTCTAAGTGGCTCTCAGAGGCAGATCTTCTCTAGCCAGCATTTATTTGGGGACTCCCTTTCCCCTTTTCTCAGTTGTTTCCTTCTTGTGTCTTCCATCTTAATAGAAGATTAACTCAATAGATGGTTAAACTTGTGCTTCTGTCGAAATACTAACAAATGCTTTCAATTTAATAACTAGGTAAAACATATAGCAGAAGATCCTCCCTGCAGTTGTTCCCATCGATTTTCGATTGAATACTTGTCAGAGGGACGTTATAGGCTGGGAGATAAAATACTCTTCATACGAGTAAGTAGTTTTTTAGAACTCTGATTTATATTTATTTTGGAGAGAGAAGTGCTTTTACATGAAATACCTCATTTTTATGGAGTATTTTAGAATTACAGAATTGTTTAGGTTGGGACAACTTGACATTCAATCCCTTATTCTAAATAGGTGTAATTACTTGATTCTTTAGATCTTTGACCCACAAACATTGATTTTACAACCACACTAAACTAAGATAATATTTCTCTGTGGTGCCTCTAAAATTTCAGTAATGACTTGCAACATAAATAAGGATAATGCCATAGAATATCCTGAGAATGTTGCTTGTTTAAAACCTAGATTCTTGGGGTTTATACTTTATAGGGTTATTGAGTACTCTCGTCAGCAATCATAAGAGTTTGTGTTGCCAGGACATAATTTAAATTAAGCCCATGCCCAAAACTGTATACTAAACAAAGATTCTTCCGGAATGGTTAAAATGTCTTTTGTAAAGATGTTTCCATTATTTCCTGACATAGAATTACTATCTGTGCAGGAGAAGCTATCTAATAAAATAATTGAGAAGCAAAAACCTTGTTTATCACATAATTTCTGTTTTAAAATGTTTCTCTGTAAGAAAGGAAGTGCTATTTTTAGTCTATTTCAATAGGTGGTAGTAAGATGAAGAAAAAAAAAAAATTTCTCTTGTTCTTCTGCTCCCACCCCCTCTTCCCCATTCTCAGATGCTACATGGCAAGCATGTGATGGTACGTGTTGGTGGAGGCTGGGACACTCTTCAAGGTTTTCTGCTCAAATATGATCCATGCCGAGTGCTTCAGTTTGCAACTCTGGAACAAAAAATCCTGGCATTTCAGAAAGGGGTCACCAGTGACAGCGTCCCCAGCTTGTCAGCTAGAAATCAGGAGCTGCCTCTTATGAATCCAATGTCAGCTGTCAATATGTTTGAAAAGCAGCCATCAAAACCTCCTGCTCCTGTTTTAGGTCTTGGGGCCAGTGCCAAGAAGGCTTTAGCTAAACGTCCTCAGTCCCCTGCCCTGGCATCACCAAGAGTGCCAGTGACCCCATCTTCCACTGCCAAGTCATCAACAGTCAGGTCCAAATTACAAGGGTCCTCAGCAGCAGCTGTGCAGTCGCCTTTCAAACCACTAGCTGGCACCTCAAAGAAACTGGAGTCTCCTGCATGCAACTCACCAGCTTCTGCTCCTTCACAGCCTGGAAGCAAAAGTTCTTCACGTGCAGGAGCAAGAGCAGCTCCTGTTCCCTCTGAAACGTTGCGCAAACGTATTCGGTCCCCCGATGCTACCAAGGTGAAATTTGCCCTGCCTCAGGGCTCCCTAGCACCAGCACCTCATCGTGCCCTCTCACCCTCTAAAAAAGAGCCATCTCTCTTGTCTGGGACAGCTGCAACAGCCACTTCAAAACAGAAGTGTGTCCCTGTATCTGCCACTAAAACCAAGGCAAATTCAGCTGCTCCCAGGGCTGCTCGGCTGCCGGTTACAAATCTGCACGCTGTTGCCAAGTTTGCACATTCTCAGCAACTCCTTGCAAAGCCTCCTGAAAATGATACTCAGATGTCAGGTGCTGGGTCTCGGCATCCTCAGAAAGCCCCACAAACAACTTCTCACCTAGCAAGGAACTTAAAAACTGCTTCCGAGCTAAAACTTTCCGCTTCTGCACCTTCCCTTGCCTTTAGCAAAGCATCAAATTCGCCACCTCCATTGTTAACTACAAGCAAAAATGTGTCATCAGCTGGCAGCAAGCAGCCAAATGCCAGTAATCCCCCTCAGGTTGGACCCTCTTTATCCAAACCTGCTGAACGCACACCTTTGTCTGTTGTACGGCTCCCTCAAACTTCAGCCAAAGCAGCAGTGACCAAAAAGCCAGCACAGCCTTCCACAAAGGGTCAACATTCAACCAAAAACTTGCAAACAAACAAAAGCTTGGCCCCAGCAGCCAAGAAGCCACTCCCAAAGGAGCAGGCATATAACAAAGGAACACCTGGTGCATCAAAAGTTCCTCTTACGAAGAGCAGGCAAGATGATCACTATTTTGTTATGACAGGGACTAAAAAGCCCAGAAAGTAAACTAATTTGTTACTTTCTGTGGAAGTCTCTGTTTAAAAGGGCCTCTTGTAACTGCTACACTGAGGACAAGGAAAAAAGTTAATAACACTACATTTAATATGAAATATTAAGTATAACCTGCCTTTTGCTGCCTAACTTACTGTAAGAACTGTGTTTATTTTGCGGTTTAGAAACTTCTATTTGGATACGTTTAGAAGTGAGCTTACTTGCTGTGTGGCGCTGTGGAATGGCAAATATCCTTGATCTGCTGCAAAAATGTGTGGGAGAGGAAAGGGGAATTAAGGCCGATGCTTTTGCAGCAGAACTCTGGTGGTTCTGGCACATCTGCATTGAGGTGTGTGGCCAGCGACAGAGCTGTGTACAAGCTGTAAAATTTCTAATACCTCAAACAAAACTGGGTTTTGTTCACTGGTATCCCAAAACCCAAATCTGGGTCACATGTTTTGGGAAGAGAAGAATTTTCTAGTCCTGTTTATATTTGACAGATGCTGTTATCAGTGTTCATTGTGCCCCCCCAAATGCCTTAAAGTGGATTCAGCTCACTTGGAAATGGAGCTTGGTTTGTTTTAAATTGAACACCAATAATAATGGCCTTAATTGCTCACTTTCTTTGTGCCTTAGCTTCTCAAATTCAGGGCAGAACTCTCCAGTGAGCAATACTACCTTTAAAACCCATTGCAGAAAACCTTGCTTAGTTCATGTTCAAATCTGACTAGCTTTCCTAGAACACTCTTGCTATATGGAGAGATGCTTCTGAGTTCTAGGGAAGACACTTTCGCCTGGGCTGCAGTCCCACACCAGCTCCTGCTCCTGGGTTGGAGCCCCAAAACAGCTCCTGCTGCAGCAACACTGACCTGCAAGCACCGACCTGTTCTAGCAGAGCTTTACTGCTCTGCAGGAGTGGCCTTTGCATGTAAGACTGAATTGCTAAATACTTTTCTCAGTGCTAGGGGTTAATTTTTGTTGGCACTCTAGTCTGCAGTGGCCTTTTTGTTTTATTTAGGGAGACCTCTTTCCTGGTGCTGCTCTATCACTCTCTGGAGGTGAGAAGTAGTTTCCCAAAGAGGAATATAGTCTGCATTTGCCTTTAAACATCCTGAAGTGCCAGAAAGCTATGCACTGTTTATACCCAGCTCCTGAAGTCTTTCAGTGGATTAAACATCTGTGGTGCTCAACACCTTTACCCTTGAGAAGTGAGCTTCATGGTAGATTAAAAACTACTGGTTTTGGTAGTAGTGCTGTTTGGATTATTTTGGGGTTAATGAACAGTTGTCCCTCCAGACTCTGAGGAGCTCTGTAGGTCTTTGAAGACACACTGATGGTTTCCACAGACCATCACTTCTGCCCTCCATTCCCAGTCTATTAATGGGCAGGAGTGGATGTCACTGCCATAAAGGCTCCTGGATGGTGGAACAGGGAAGTCTTTTTAAAAGGAGAAGTGTTCCATGGAATATGTAGTTTCTGTTGTTAAGGAGTTTTATTTTAGCATTGCTGTTTTTTGTTTTTCTGGAACTAGAGTAACCAAACATTGTAAACTGAGTTCTCACGCGATGTGGCAGGGTCATAGAGCTGCTTTTCTGAGCACCTTGTTAGCTTATTTTATTTAATTTATGATTCTATTTATGCATATCTACTGTACAATACTGCTCATAACCTGCTGGGAGTCAGCAGTAGATGCCAGTATCCAAACTGTAGGAGGAAAACAAATCATTTTTGATAATGTGGGTCCCACAGGATTCCATACAAAGCTGTATGTTTGGGGAAGGCCTTGGGCTTGCTTGTTTTATATGCACTCTGGTCAAAGCCACTGCTATGGTGTTAGGCAGAGTATTGACTATAGTGGCTTCCTGTCAGGTTTGATTAATCTGGCACATGATTTCATATGCTGAAAGCATTTTACAGTAGATTACTTGCTTTTTATTTTTCGGCTTCCAAATGGTGAGTTACATGTGATATATCTCATGCAGATTAATAGCTGACTTCTTGGGGTTTTCTTTCTGTAATGGGTCTGGAAGAGATGCAGTTAACTTTCTTCATGGCATCCCATATGGGGCTGTGTCTTAGATTTAAAACCTAAACCCATGTTGATAACATGCTGTTGTTTGAGCTGTTGCTGAACAACCCTTCCAGGGTCAAGTCTTTCTTGTTCCTGCTCTGCCCACACAGTGAGTAGGCAGGAGATTGGGAGTGACATGGCTGGGAACTGGCCAACTTGACCTGGCCAAAGGGCTATTCCGTATCATAAAACACCACCTCAACAATAAAAAGAAGGAAGAGGTAGAGAAAGAAGGGCATGCAGGTTGTGTGGCTTCTAGGTGGTTTTTTGCCAGCTGGCTGGGCATCAGTCTGTCTGTGGGAGTAGTGAAGGATTGCCTTTGCACCACTTCATGGTTTACTTTTCCTATCTTTTCTTCATTCATTAAACTCTTTATCCCAGCCAGTGAGTTTTGCTTTTGCTGCTCCTCTCTCCTTATCTTGCTGGGGGTGGAGGAGAGATAAGGGGAGTGAGCAGCTGCACAGGCACTTGGCTGCTGCATGGGTTCAACCCACAGCACCTTTTAAACCATTTACAAAGTTCTTAGCGTCAATTTAAACACTGAGGCTCTTGGATCTCAGTGTAAGGCAACTTCACCATCTACCTTTGTGAACTACAGAGAAAATGAAGCAAATGGCTTCATCTTTGTGATATATGATGTCATGTAATAAACTGAATTTTAAAGTTCAAAATTGAAATAAAAATGCATAAACTGTTACAGTTGAAACCTTAATCAGCTAATCTAAAGTTACATATGGGTAGACTTGGTTTGGTTTTATTATAAAAAGAGTGTATTTGAGTGTGATCCAACTTCTGTGGAAATTGTAGTTGCCAGCTGCATAGTCATGTAACATGAGGTGAGCCAAGAAGGTGTAACAAACCTCCTAATGGGAATATGTACTATTTTTACAATGTTTGTTGCCAAATAGCAAGTCTAATCTTCAGTTTATATTACCTTTTGTGAGGGAAAGATAATTTGGAGCAAGAATCTGACTGGATTCTCCATGTGATATCGATGTCCTCTGTATAAGTACTTATTTAAAATAAACATACACTGCACCTTTTTATGTGCACACGTTTCTTCTCCTGACATCTTTTTGCAGGGAGGGAAAGAGAATGCATTTCAGAAGGCTCATGTTTTCCCTCTGCCACCACATAAATAGTAGATTCCTTCTCTGGCATAAATAGCTGTATCTAATCCATTGCATTGTTTGGAGTTCAAGACATTTTTACTCTGTCCTTGTTGTCAGTGTGACTAATTGTGTGGAAGGGGCATCCTACCCTTTCCTAGGCTCATCTAGGAATGAGCCTAAGTAGTTTCAGATATACCAGAAAGTTGTATAGAGATAAGAGAGTTGCAGCTCTACTTGAAATATAAAGAACCTGTGTGCCATATTTTCCCTGCTTATATCTTGTCAACAAAAGATCTATCTCTGTGTCTGTTACCATTAATGACAGAAATTTAATTAGTTTTGTTGGATGGAGAATTGGGTGTTCTCACTGGAACCACCTAATTAACTTTTTTTTTCCCCCTTCCCTATTCTATTTTTTTTTTAACTCTTTTAAAGCCTGCCTTTGTCAGCTGTTCCAAAGTGTCTTCAGTTCCTGGCAGTCTGGCACTGGTGCCAAATCACATAGACTTACCCTTCCACTTCAGCTGCGTCTAGTAAGCACGTGCAAGTGGCATCTACCGTCCTTGTTCCTACAGGACCAAGCTCTGCATAGGTGTTAGTTGCAGCTTGTTTTTTTAAGAGATGCTGTTACAGCTGGCCAATAAAATGCAAAGGCTCTCCAAGATCTTCTCAGGTAAGTATCCTAACCCTATTTTATATATCCTAATCATATCTATCTATATTGGGTAAATTTCAGGGCAGTTTTCCTTGTAAAACATGAAGCACCAATAACTTTAAACATCAAACTATGCAGCTCCTTTTCTTTTTCTCTACAGGGAAACTGAAATCTGTTTGTTAGGTGAGTGAGTTCTATGGGGCCATCTGGTGTCAATTTTATAGACACTACTCTGACAATGTAAAGCCCTTAACTTCTCTAGAAATGCATGGGCAAAACTTTTCTCTTTAATTCAAGTAAAATCTTTAGCTAGCAAAATCCATACTTGGCATGATATAAGTAATGCAAGAGACATTTAATGCTGTAAGACCCTTTCATGCAAGTACATTCTTGGAAACCTCCTTTTAATTTTCTTTAAAAGCCAAGATTGAAGATCACTTCTGTAATAGAGGTTTTGAAAAATAAATTGTCTGCAATGTAAATAAGTTCAGCACTTATACCTTTCAGACATTTTAATAAAAAATAAAACATTAAAATATTTGAGGGGTGAGATCTGCTCACAGTTCAGATCTACCTAGCCAGCAATCCCCATTAACTGAGAAATGAACTTTCAGGTGTGTCAGCTGGTGGGAGTGCCAGCAGTGGATGGCTTTCTATTTGGGGAGGGCTAGGTGTCTGGAGCAAAGCTATTATGGCATTTTGTGTGAAGTATTTTGTTCCAGATGGAAGAAAACCCTTACAGGATGGGAGCAGCTGGCCATTTCTCCAAAAAATGTAGCTAGGCAGAAAGTATTGACAGATTTGTTGTGCTAAGAGTTTTTAGAAGGTAAGATTGCAGCATAGAACTTTGATGTAAAATTGGCCTTTAGTGCTGAGTCAGAAAGTACTGTGCAAAGCTGAGCTCCTACTAAACAAAGCCAAACTTGCATGCTTCCTCAAACCCCCCGTTAGGATATTCACTTGGGAAAAGTGGAATACATTAGTGTTTGTCAAAATACTCAGACAGGGCACCTCATAAGAACCATGTTAAAGTCAGTTACCTGCATCTTTACAGTGAAAGCATATACTTTACCTCTTGCATTTTAAAATAAAAGTAATTGTTGAAATTCAGGTTGAGAATCTTCTAATTTGCTGAACTTTTATATAAGTATCATTATTATTTACTTTTCTGAAGCAC